GACTGTTTTTAAGCCACTTATACAGAACTGATAGAAGGCATCCTCGGCATATAACTCAAATTCGTACAATGTGAAACTAATTGATTACCGTTATAAAGATAATATGAACCAGAAAGCAGTTATTAAATGGTAATAGTTTTTAGTCATTGTTACAAATATTGATAATGCTCTATTTTCTGTAATACTTAACACAGCATCTTTCGGGTAGATGGATACTTGAAATGGTCGTCTCGCACATTAATCAAAAAAAGGATTGAGTGTGAATGTAAAAGATGCAGCTGATTTCAGTTGTTGCTAGACTGCCTTTTAAGCTCTCTCATAAATTGAATCTACCGGAGACAACATTCATTCCTCCAAAAAAAGGACTCAAAATGTGAGCTAATTATGAAATTGCCTTTAGGAACAAGAAATAGGTGAGACCTGAAAAGACATAGGAAATAAATTATTAGGCATGTGCTAGAAGTATAGATAATGACGTTTTATTTTAGAACCTTGAAAAAGATTTATTGGAAAAAATGCCCATTTGGGGATTTCAAAATAGAAGTTCACCCTTTGAATTCTGAAAACTTACAATACTGTAGAGGTTGGTATGAGAGACCCAAGTTAGGACATCATCGTAAGGCTAGACGATGCTTCTAAAGTGTTTGTAAGTGACAAGAAGCAAACTTCACAATCATCATCCAAATAAATATTTTTGTCCATTTTGGCAAAGTTCATAACTTTATAGATTACTTCTTCAATTTTACTATGGAAGCCAAATGTAAGTCTGGACTCCTTACTTTACTTCTTTTCTTCTTGCTACAGATTACCTTTACAAACTGTATGCCTCATCCCTGATCCTCCACAAATGGCCACTGGTAAGTTATGTTTATACAGGAGTGTGCGTTCTCTAAGCACTAGCAGAGAAGACCTAAAAAAAGACTTTGTTTCCACTAGGATTTTATCTGATACTAATTTATCAAATTAAGATCACATCTCTCTTAGCTAGTGAGAACAAAGTCAAACTGAGTTTTGGTAAGTCTATGAGTTTTGCCCTATCTGCTTTTTTTGTCTGACTAATATTTCCACTTAAATACATCTTAGAAAATGTAATTCAACTCAAAAAACTTGAAGAATAAACAGATTAAATACCCCTAAACAAATCAAAATTGAATTTGCTTCAGACTAAAGGAAACCGAATCCACAGGATATTCATTAAATGGTTTTAGAACGTGACAGAGCCAAGGTAAAAATTGCTGCTAAATCTAAGTGAATCTGAAGCCCAATCATCAGCTTTGTGCTTGTTAGCAAATGAATTCTGGTGTGCAGGGTGAGTTTATGGCATATCCTTACTGTGTAAGTCCCCCAAGAATGTGTTGCTCATGCACTTAATTCATGGAAGAATGAGCATGTACTGAGCTCCTTAAAGGTCAGCATTGAAGGTGTGTTGTGTATGTGTAAGTAGTACTCATTGCTACATGGAACTTATGCTATTAACTAATGTGGAGATGTTGCTTCCAGCCATGTGTTTGAGGGTTTATGTTGGTTCCTTTTGAAATTTTACCAGAGTGAGTCTTGGGACCACTTTCATGCTTCTTTTGAAATGTACATTCTGTGGGCACAGGAGTTACTCGTAGGGATCATAAAATGATTCGGGACAGTAAATCTGTGGCTTTAGCCAGATGCCAGCAAGAGACAATTTTTATAAGTACTTAAAAGCAGAGATTCTTTTTAGTAGTTTTCAACCTTCATCTCAAACAACACAGTGTCAACCATGTACTCTGTAGTCTTTCAGGAGAGCAACAGAAGCAGTTCAAAAATGAGTGTAAGTGCGTGCCTCTGTTTCTTTTCTTTGATTAAAGCTGAGTGACTTTGTTTACAAAAACAAATTAGCTGATCCTTTGCTCCTTCTTTTTATCTTCCTCTTCCCATCTTACAAACTTCTACTGTAGCTGGTTTAAGCAGACTAAGTATTACTTGCAAATGAGAGTGACTACAAGCACCAAAATGCTAGGCCATTAAAAAAAAGGTCTAAATTTAGGCTTCTAAATTTATCTTCCCCTGCTCCTAGCTGCATGTCTCCTCCTACTCCACTGGCTTTCAGCATTTGACTGGCTCTGGCACTTGCCTGGCCCCCTCTGTGAGGCAATTCTGCTCACTAAGCTGGCAGAAAACAAGACTTCTGTGGGGGTTAGTTTTTTACTATCATAATAACAAAAGTACAAATGTGGAGTAAGCTAGGAGCAGAGAGAAAAAGAAGAGGAGGGGGAAGTGGAAAATGTCCCTTTAAGGACCAGAAACTGTGGGATGGCTCTGTCTTGTCCAACTGCACTCTTACTTAAATATTCTGAAGATTAACATTAGGCCTTTTTTTATGGAAAACTTGTCTTCTCTATCCTGCAACTTTTTTAAAACAGACTGTAAAATAAACTATAACATCCCATGTTTTAATTTTATTTTTCTTATCTGGTTCTGTTGCCTTTCAGTTACCTTTTCCTTTTCACTGCCTCATCCACTCTCATCAAAGTTTATTATTTGCTTATACATATCTTTATTGCACATGATTACAAGCTCTTTTTGTTCAGTGCTGTCCATGCTGCAAAGCAGAAGTGGGAATAGGTATCTTCTAAAGTATGGACAAGTTTTTGAATGTTATCAGTAAAACTTTGCTAGGAGAGCAAAGAAACAGCAGCAAAAAAATCCAAATCTTCAGATGAATTTCAAAGGACTCCAGTATTTTTTCAGCATTACTTTGATTAATGCCCCAAACTTTCTATATTCATTTTACTTTTTTTTTGCTACTGTAATCTTCTCTATTACAAGTGGAATGTGCAATATGTCATGGTTTTCCCAGTCAATTTTGGAGGTTTATTTGGAAAAAAATAAACCTCTGTAGTTATACTTATTTTTAAAGAAATGGTTTGACTGCGTTTTTTAGACAACTAAATCATTCAGCTCTGAGACCCTACCCTTTATTGATACAAATTGTCTTATCTGTGTTGAATTACCTTCATAAGGATCTGGCTATTTATTAATGAGAGTGGGCGAATCACTGGCTTCATTTTCTTGGAAAACAACATAGGAGTTAGAATCATTGCTTCACCAAAACTTAAGCTGCAGGGATTTTTAAAGATAATGCTCTTTGTGTCTATTTTGAAGGCTAATAAAACTGATTATGTATAAAAACAAGCTAAGGAGGATTTCTAGCTATAAAAAATAGCTTCTTAAGAATAAATATTTTTTTCTGGTTTCAGGTCCCAAATTAGTATGTGGGTATGCACAGATTATGAAGTCCTTAGTGATAGCATTTGTAATCCAGTTTCACAGCATTTAGATAAATTTCTTTTGGACGAGATAGTTTGAAGACATCTGTTGTTTTTTTTAATATTGTGCAACTCTCAGCCTTCTAATACAACTGCTCAGACTTTCTTTAAAACAGCAAAATTCCTTTCTGTTACAGATTCTGCTATATTATTGTCAGGCCTTTTTTGATATACTTTCTTCACTTGTGGTACCCGTCTCTCTCTCTGATTAAAAGCAGGAGTATGGAAGCTTAGAAGATTCTGATAATACTCAGCAGTAGTTACATTGATACCCTATTTGTAAGCAGCTAGTTACTAGAGGCTGAAGCCAATGTCATAATTTTGTTTGTATTATCATGCTGAGTCCAAACTTTGCAATTTAAATTCAACCAGATGTCCCTTAGCAGAGCTACTTTGAATTCTGCATGCTACAGTACAACTCCATCAGTACTGACCCCACTGATGCATCTTTGCTTTCAGTGCACTCCTGTTACTTTTCTCCTAATTACTGAATTACCCTGAAATGTTTGTACGATACAAATAAATTTGTACCTTTTCTAAAAGAGTTCCCTCCCATTTTATTTAGAGAACTTATAACAGCACAATACTTTACAGTGGTGGGAACAGTTACTGGGGGAACAGATCATAAGGTCTGCCTTTATTCCCCAAACCTTCAGACTTCTGCAGGATTCTGTAGTTGTATTTGCTCAAAATTTAGGCTGTCTTTAAAAGGAAAGTTTTCCAAAACATAAACCCAAAGACCTTTCTGTATAGATTCCCACACCATGTATGCAAATAAAATATGCCTATTGACCTGAATTAATACATTTTGCCTATAAAGTGAACAGACTAATGTGTACTCCTTTAAACACATGGAAATAGTGACAATTAAACAATTTCTAATTCTTAAGTTTATGTAGCATAGGCATTCCTTGTAAAATAAACAAAACCACGTTGTTTCACAAATATGAGATCAGACCCTCCTTGAAGTTTTTGCTGAGTACTTGCCCAAGACTGCATGTTTCATGAGTGAGATTTTCAGAATGTCTCAATATTTCAAAGTACAACTTAAAAATTGAGATGTAAAATATTTTAACGTTAAGAGAGTCTTGAAGATTAGGGAAATTGCATTTTATTGAAACACAAGAGGATTTATTGCCAGTCCACTTGCCTTTGCAATAAATAGGATAGCCCTATTAATGGATTTAGTCTTTTGTCTGCCAGCACAGTTGTTCCAATTTCTAATCCATTCTTTGCTAATATTAGAAGTTATTCAGCCCTAAAATTAAAATTATGGTTGGCTTTGCTAACTTTTCAGAAATGATTTCTCAGCAGTCTATTTTTGTGTGTTTTGCACTTTGCTCCTTTGTTCCACACTTGGCTCTTGATTACTTGGTGCATACAGTGTCCCACAGAGCAAATCGTAGTGGACTAATTAAGAACTACCAAGAGTTTCCCAAGTTATGCAAGATCCCCACAACTATGAAAAGCCTTTTCAGCCTCCCAGTCACATACTGTGAAGTGCCATAAATCAAACTTTTGAAAACACTCAGAGCTGTGCTGCCTGTACTTACAGGTATATTTTAGTTCCAGGAGAAAGTACTTTCGTTAAAGTTTACTGCTGGTTTTTTTCAGTGCTATTTTTATTAGCTTAAATCCCACAAGCTAAGAGCATTTTGAATACCAGTAACATTGATTTAATGAGACATGATCACTTACGCAACATTGGTGACATTGTCATCTTTACTTCCACATGAATCTGGAAGAGTAAGTGAAGTGAGAGCAAGCACTTGGGCTTCTATGTCGGAGCTCAGGCAGTATGATAGAGGAAACTAAGCCTCATGGTTATGGGTGTCATATTACTGCTTGTGGAGGTCAGGGAGGTATTTTTACCTTGGTGTCACTAGTATGGGAAAACTTGGAAGACCTCAGCTTATTTTGAAACTATATGAGATGGCCAGGTTAATTGTTAAGATGGGTCATCAGTGTCATCTCATGCAACAAGCTTTATGGTTGGTTATGTACGTGTCCTCGTCTCACACTTAAATTGGTTGATCACGTAGGTTGCTCAGTGTCACACCACATCAACAACTCTGTATTTGTCCTTATTGCAAAGGACAAATTTTATTACTGAAGTGTTGTATTGTGGGGATGGGAATCTCACTAACGGACATTCCGGAGTTTGATTTTAATGAGCAAACACTGTACCACCTGGCATGACAAGGCACTTAAGCAGAAAATAATGGAGAAGGGAATGTGCAGCTGGAAGGAGAAAAACAAGATAAAGACCATGAAGGCATTTCGCATGATCAGGAAGAACGGGCCAATCTGCTAGAGCATAGATGCGCGTGAACACAAGGCTATAACCTATCTGCAAGCTGCAGGTAGCGCGTGTCCATAGTAGTTAACTATATAAGCCCTGTTATAAGTGTAAATAAAGGAGAATGACCATACTCATATTGAGATCTGTCATTACTCCGGAATCGCAACTCCCGCTCCGTCGTCGACACTGAACAAAGGGAAACTCCGACA